ACGCGTGTGACCCGGCCGTACATGACTTATTCTCGTATTTATGCACTTGTACAGATCACCCTTGTTTTGTTCCTGGAAAATAATCTTGAATACGCGCTATAGAAAACTTGATCAATAGGGCGCCCAGTCATACAACGATATCCACGTGCGAGAGCAAGTATCTGTTGCAGGCTTCGAAATAGCTTTGTTCATATGAGACAGTCATAGCGATAAGGTAGAAGATGGCTCTGCACATAGGTGCAGTTACTAGCAGCAACTCAAACGCACGCGTTCGGGATACGCGTAGTATCTGACACAAAAACAACACATTCGGATACACCCCTTTCAAGGGGTTATGCCCTTGTTTAAGGTTACAGTATCCCTTTTCTGTACTTTTAGGGCTCTGTTCCGAACTGCAGATCCGTACGTGTGTCCAATTCAATCATACCGATATTGCGCGAAAGGTGTCTCTACACAGAGGTACAGGCGGACGCCAAATTGCACACGATTTGAAATATATACCCTTCTACAGGCCCAATTTCGGGACAATTAAGCCCATTATTCGGCTTTTTAGGACCTAATGTATCCGTCCTCCTTTCATACAGCCACGCCGATCGCGTGCGCAAGATGGCTTTGCGCATAGGCGCGGGTGAGGGTTTCAGTACAGAGCAAATGCAAACGGCTGAGATTAGCGCGTTGTTGCACGATGTGGATGACTGGAAGTACAATCCCGAGGTAAAACCCTAACCCCTAAAACCCTAACCCCTAGGCTCTAAACCCTAAAGAACGCTTTACTGTACACGACAATGAGTGTAGCACTATATACGCTATGACATGATGTGCTTAAAGGGATAAGGGAATACATGCACAGATGTTACAGCTTACACAGAACACATACTCGTACATGACATGAATGCAGCACCATAGACGCTATGGCATGATGTGTTTCAAGCGAATACATGTCCAGATGTTGCAACTTGTACACGTCCATGCCCTAGTCGTATTAGAGCACCCGCGAAAGCGTATACGTTCCATCAACTCCTTTCTATTGGTCGCTTGTCACCCAAAATCGGACGGGTGTTTGTTCGTGTTTAGAGTGGACATGGATCGCCTCGTTGAACGGTATTGGTCCAAATCGAGATATGTCTAACGTTGCACATCGGGTTTGTTTGCACTGTTAAATCCTACAATCTTTAGCCCAAAACCAAAAACTAACACAAAACGAAACAAAAACCCCCCAAACCCATAAACAATATACTTCTAAACTTTTAAAAATCCTTGTGAAGCTATACATACCCCACCAGTCCAGGACAACGGCCCGTTAAGCCGTGCTCGTACCTCCTTGCTTGCGCAATATCTCTATCTCTATAGTACATTGCTACTTGCCTGAATGTCGGAACCCCAAATCCCCTATGTCATAGAATTCAAAACCCTACCCATAGCCAGCTATAAATGATCTCTTGAGTCTCCACCCAAATTCCCTATGTACTACAATTTAAAACCCTACCCACAGCCAGCTATAGGCAACCTCTTGTATCTCCACCCATACCTTCCACCACAGGGCAACGGCCCGTTAAGCCCTGCCCCTACCTATCTTCCATGCGCAACAACTCTATCTCTATAGTACATTGCTACTTGTCTGAATGTCGTAATCCAAATTTCCTATGTCCAGGAATTTAAAACCCTAACCACAGCTACACATAACCTCTTGAATCTCAACCCAAATCTCCTATGTCCAGGAATTTTAAACCCCTACCCACAGCCAGCTATAGATAACTTCTTGTATCTCCACTCATATTCTCCACCACAGCACAACGGCCAGTCGAACCGTGCTTGTACCTTCCTTACGCAACATCTCTATAGTACAATGCTACCTGTCTGACCATCGCATCCCAAACCCCCGATGTCCTAGAATCCAAAACTCTTCTTACAGCTTCAAATACTCTCTTGAATCCTAAACCCTAAACTAAACCCTAAACCCTAAATCCACAGGACAACGGCCTGTTGAGCCGCGCTCGTACCTTCCTTACGCAACACGATTTCCCCACAACCGATGCGGTACTGCAGATTATTCAGTCTATGGGGTTCAAGGAATCACTGGGCAGTGCTAAGCTTAGCGACGCACATACGCCTGAGTTGTCGGTGGTTCAGGTAGGTATAGTGTGTGTCGTGTGGTGCTGTTGTAGGTATATCTCTACGGTTGTCCTACTGTGTAGTGTAAGTGTACTTAGTGTCTCTTGGCTCGTCATGAGCGGTGTGTGTTGTAATTGTATGTGTGACGTAGTACGTCTACCGTGAACGAATGAAGCATGCAATTTTATTCATCTACTGGATAGTTGTCGTTATAGTTCATCTCCACCATACACTTCTAAGTATATATATGAATATTTACAATAAGCATTACCAATACTATATATATATATATATATATATATATATATATATGTACATTATATATATAATATATATATAG